TTACCGTTTCGTACAATTTAAGTACTAATTTTTTTGCCCTATCTATAGTGATGTTCTTCTATAAAGCTTTTGTTTAGTACTCTACCCCCCACACGCCCGTTTACTACGTGCTGTATTGAAGATGTATATAAGTATACATAAAACGTACCTACTGTACAATATGCATATTTAAAAGGTATATATATACCACCCATCGTAATAATTGACGCTTTTTCAGTTCACTTCTTTAGGACTAAAGATGTTAAGCATATGTAATATATAATAAATATATATTATATGCACCGCGCCTATGCATATAAAATTTATATCTGTACATGGCAATGCAATTATGCTGTTAAAAACTGCGCCCTTACAATTCAGTACTGGGATCAAGTACGTGCCAAGCGTTAGGTGAAGAAACGTACTTAGAGAATAATTTTAGGGAAAAATATTATGTACAATTGTATATAATTGCGAATGGGTCGACTTCTGCTTAATTCCTCATTCGTGCTGAAAAAGCAGCGTATACGTGTGAATAGCACTAATACGAAGGGCCATAAGTAGCCGTGCATATTATTATATATATTTGCGTTATTACATACGTGATTTATATAACCCTAGTATTTATATATTACGTGCCCGCCTGTACGTATATAAAAGAAACGCTGTGGCATCGAAGTATAAAATTATATTATGCTTGCCCCCTATTTATTTAGCTTGCTGGCAGCAATATAACGTTTATGAGACTACCGCAGCGCAGTATATAATAGCAGCATGGTAGAATTGTACCATTCGTGGTAGCAGAGAGTAGTAACCCTTTTTTTATTGGATGCGTAAATATATAAGCACATATATTTGCCGCATAATATTATTGTTACATTTGTTACCTCACTGCAGTGTTGAGTACGTCTTAAACTGCATCATCGCTTCATTGTTTTTGCCGTTTATCAGTTCATCGTCCATTTACGTTTTTTTAATTGGTCAAAAATATAAAGCGCAAGCAAAAAAGGAGCAATGACAAAAAAAAAAGAATTTTTTTTATTTTTAACAGAAACCGCGAACAAATAAAAAGATACTAACCATTTTTTAAGTATACGAAAAAAGCAATCAGCTTTTGTAACCTGATATTATAACTTCGCGCACAATGCATTGCGTACGTACGTATAGTACAGCAAAGCATAAGTAATAAGCGCTTACTCATTCGCGTTTTTCAATATGCGTATGCGTACCATTTGGAGTAGCAAAACACGCGCAATATTTATTTTTCTCGTTTATTGTTTGCCGTTTTATCGCTTTATCGTTACATTGCCGTGATATAATGCTACGTTATGTCATGCCATCGCACTAGTTTTTTTTTTTTTTTTAATCATTACGTGAATTTTGCTGAACGGCTCCTCTCTCCTTGTTCATTCTGAATATGATTTAGTGAAACCGTATGTAAAAGAAATCACGCATTGTACCTAATTTGCTATTATTTTTTTCTTTAACTTATTTTTTTGTCTTTGAAATATCACATTTCTTTGAATTTTTTTTTTCACCTTTCTCATTGTATGGATGTATGCATGTACGTATGTATGTCCTTAATGCATGTACGATACTGTGTATATAAATATATATATACATATGTACATTCGAATCTCGAATGCGCGTGACCTTTTGTATCCCCCACCCCTGCGTAACGCGTTCGCAAGCCTTGTACATTCGTCAGTACACATTCGCACTTGCATATTCGCATACGCTCCCGAAGTTGCCACCTACCATAATACATCACACAGATAGGAATAAAAGAATTTCATGTACAACCACCCCCCCGTTTCTCCCATTTTGTATACATGAAACAAAACAAAATACAGCCATAACCAGGAATATAAATTTTGTTTTTAATAAAGAAGAAATTAACAAGTAACGAAAATGACTAAAGTTAATAAACCACCCACGACCAGCAACCCCAATATAAAATTAAAGAAACCTAATTCGAAAGAAGAAGAGGTAAGGAAAAAACAGATCAAATCAGGCAAAGAAGTGTGTCCCGTCGCCTCCCCCCCGCAACCGCGTTCATACCGTATATGCCTGCGTCTGTGTGCAAATGGATGTTATATGCATGTATACAATTGTGCATACCAGCAGATGGCGGTGGATTTACGCGTCCTCTTTTGCGATGCGACGTATGTGCCACGACGTGATGGTTAAAAGGTAGATCGCCTTCGTCTCCGAACAGAAGGAGGTGCTCAAAACGTACCTATCGTTGCTTACTCTTCCGTCTGTTGTATTTATTATTTTTCCTTTTTTTTTTTCCCCCTTTGGTGAGTCATAATTTTTTGGCTGTATTTCCATTTTTACCTGACCTTTGCATGCAATTTTTATCGAGCTGAAATGGGGCAATTGCTTAAGTAGTGGGGGGGCGAACGGAGATGCATCTCCGTACGTCGAGGATAAAATAAAAAAAAAGGAGATACGTAGATAGATCGAGAGTGAGACACCTTCGCTTCGTAGTTATTCCTGGACCACACCAACACAACGTCGTATTTTATTTATTTATTTATTTTTTTTTTGTTCCTTCCCTCAGGACTTAAACCAACCGGTAAAAAAAACACTGATCGCAAAAAACATAAAGGTTGTGAAAAAACCTGAAGATATAAGCCCATCTCCGAGAAAAAGCGAAAATGAAAGTGCGGTAAAAGACCAAGCCCAAAAGGGAGTAAACAGCACAGACCCTAAGCCTAAACCTGCGACACCTGATAATAAAGCGAAAAGCGATGCGGACAGTAATTCAAAAAAAAATGCGGGTACCAGTAAAAATGCCGCGGACAGCAGTGGAGGAGACGTGCAACTGGGGTACTTCTCCTGGTTGTGGAGGTACTTTCCCAAAAAGAAGACCTAATTTTGGAAGGGGTAGCCGCCCCCATTCGTGGAAAAGAAGAACAGGAAAATGAAGCGATTGTAGTGGCAGTACAGGAAGAAGCGCGGCAATCGTGGAAATCAATACAATCACAGAAATCAATACAATCGAAACAATCAATACAATTGCAACAATCAATACAATCGAAACAATCAATACAATCGAAACAATCAATACAATCGCAGAAATCGATACAATCGTGGCAATCGATACAATAGCAACAATCGATACAATAGCAGCAATCGATACAATAGCAGCAATCGAGACGATCACGTCCGTAGAGGCCGCATGAGTGGCAGAAAATGCGGCATCAATTTGACAGAGCGCGACAAATTCAGTAAAGGCAGTGCCCCCCAACGTGTGTCCATTCATATCCCCTCCATGTCGCGTGCCTTTGCGGCGAGTATTGTGCACGCGGAGGTGCATTTGTGGCAGTGCCGCGTGTACGGCAAATGTGTGTGTGGCAAGTGAGCATGTGGGTATGCATGTAAATATGCATGTAAGGATGCATGTATGTGTGCATCTATTATGTGTACGTGCCTGCATCCCCCCCTCACCTTTTTTTTTAAAATTGGACACATATATATATACATGCGTACGTGCCTACGTCCGTACACATGTGTGCATATATGTGACTACGTGTGAACCCCTTTCTCCCCCCCTCCCCCCTCCAAGTGAGCATATTTACACTGTGTATATAACGTGTAACGTGCACAGTGTATATGCGTCCAGTAGTCTAACATGTGTCGAGCACATGTCACGCCCTTTTATGATTCCTTTCATCACCCCACAATTACTATGTTTATTCCTGTTGTTATCTCGTCTAACACATGTACCAAGGCTACCACGTCTGCTATGTCATTTTATGTTATTTTCTATGTTACCTTATTTTGCTTCATTTTGAGTTTTTTTTTTTTTTTTTGCATTTCTCCCTTTTTAAAAGTCCTTTTTTTTTAAAAAAAATATGCTTTTTTAGTGCCGTTAACGTTAAGACATTATTCTTCTCCAAGAAAAATAAAATAAGAAAATGAAAAAAAGCGGAAAAGGAGTGTGATACTCATGTGGGGAAGAAGCGGTCGGCCATACACCTCCCCACATACTTTCCCCATTACATATCCGCAGCAAACTGCCAAACGTGGACACAGTTACTCACCCTGAGGAGGTACCATTCCGATGGAAGGGCTTATCAAAGTGGTTGAAACAAAGTTTGAATGGAAGGTATGGCCTCCAATTAGGGCACAACAGAGTTTGCGGGGAAAAAATAAAAAAAATAAAAAATAATTCAAATAAAAAGAAAGAAAATTTCAACATTTTTACAACGAATTTATAATTTTGCGGGTGGGAAAAATAAAACCGTTTGCTTTCCTCTTTTTCAAATGTCAGCCGTGCCGATCGGTACGTGCACAAATTGTCCGATGTCGCGTGGGCGTAAAAAATTAAAAAAAATGAACAAAAAAAGTTTAGCAATCGAGAAACCGCAAGCGGTGGTGCTGCCGTGAGAAAAGGAGCACTCCAGCGGTAAAATCCACCGCAGCGACGCATCAGAAGACGCCCCACAGATTCTCAAACTCTGAGCATATGGTAGAGCAGCACGTGGCGGCACTGAGGCTGAACTCAGAAATGCTAATGTTGTCGTCCAGATTCTCAAGCTTCATAATTGGGTTGGAGTAGGCCACCGCCCCAATGAAAAAAGTGACGGGCATATTTTCGTTCTGGAAATTCTGAACATAGGCAGGCAAATGTACTTTCCTGCCCTTTACAGATAGGCCAATTTTTTTTCCATTAATTGGTAAAATAGCGTTATAGTCATTTTTCAGAAATTTTAGCAAGCACAAATTTTTCTCATTTGCCTTTATTTTATATTTTCGTAGGAAGGTGACCATTAGGGATTCGAACTGGTCATACGTTTTCGGGATTTTTAAATTCGAAGAGACAAAGAATAGTTGATTGTCATGTGTTTTTATGTAAACTTGTAGGAGGCCATATTTATTCAGTGCACTTTCTAAGAGGTGAATTAGGCACTGGTGTAGGATATCCGGTCTGAAGTTTCTCATCTCCTCTTCTTTTTTTGTGTCTCTTAATAAGTGCTTATGCTTCATGGTGTTAGCCAGCTCGTAAATGTACCTCTTCGTTTCGATTAGCTGCAAGTGGGCCCCTTCAAGAATGATAATGACTCGTTTCTCCTTTTTGTCTTCCTCCTCAGGGGGGGGTGATACTCCCCGTTCGGGCGTGCCCATCTTGTTTGGCAGAAAATGTGGCAGAGGAACGACGGGGGATATGATGCGCCGTTGTATGTCCGGTGCGGAGGCTCCTTGTGGGGGGAAAGATGCCTACTCAAGCTCAAGGCTACATGATGTCCCGTTTATTTGCCGTATCACGGCGGAAAAGAGACCAGATCGGGAAAAATGGTTTGCTCGGCGAGTTCGGTCAAGGGGGGCAGTCTTCGTGGGCACACAAAATGGAGAAAAAGAAACGACGCGATGTATGTTACAAAAATGGCAAAAAAGAAAAGAAGTCACCTATTTTATGCATATATAATCGATCTATACGAGACGTCGTTTCTTCTTTTTTCCCCCCAAGAATACGCGGGATAGGATGGGCGACCTTTTCAGAGGGAATTCTCTTTCACGCTGGGGGGTAAAAAAATGTGAAGCAGCAACATGGGAAAAGAAGTGCATGGTGGGATAAATTGCCAAGTGCAAAGCGTCCCCTAACAAATGCAGAGGGGAGAAACTTCCCACCCAGTGAAGACCACCACTGAGGGGACGATTTCTCCTCAGAGGGAAGCAGCAACGGGGAATGGTTACGATAACGGTAACTGTAACGATAAGCGTAACTGTAACGATAAGCGTAACTGTAACGATAACCGTACCTGCAACGATAACCGTACCTGCAACGATAACCGTACCTGCAAAGATAACCTACCTGCAACGATAACCTATCTGCAACGATAACCTATCTGCAACGATAACGGTAGCGGCGCAATTTTGGGGTAAACAGAAAAAAAAAAATTGCAGGATGGGAAACGAAACCTTCCTTTTCGCCTGAACGGTTCATAACTTTTTGGAAAAAAAAAAAAAGAAAAAATTGGCTAGCCGTCACATGGGGTGGCCACAACAAAAAGGGGGGAGTAAGAACATACACCAATGGGGTTATTTTCCTTTATACACGCCTTCTACACAAATTGCGCATCGGGAGGGATATAACACATACGTTGAAGCCGTCACCTCCCCATAAAGGTGGTACCTACGATATGGGGAATAACCCCTGGGGAAGGGGGGAGAGAAAAAAAAAGAATAAAACAAATAAAGAACGCGGCATATGGGAAAAAAGTAGCCCAGTTAGAGACATTAATCCTTTTCATGCAAAATAAGGAGAGCACAAAATGGCTAACTCCGGAAACACACGGATTTATCACTTGAAGGCCTTCCGAGAGCTACGAATAGTGACCCTGGAAAAGTATACCAAATTTGACGAAGAGGATGAAGAAGAATGCGTTAAAGTTCGTTTATTACCCAGCGGAAGAGGTGTAGGACACAAAAACGAGTACAACAGCAGTGGCAATGGCGACTTCCCAAGCACGGCGGAAATATTTGGAAAAGAGTTAATTATTGATAAGGAGTACAAATTTGGGTGTAACAGAAAATTTGCCATCTATACATTCACAGGATGCACAATTCAGATAAAAGGTCGAACTCTGCAGGAGTATGAAAGTGGGAACAGCACAATGAGGGATTACTTATCCTTATCGTATATTCTGGATGCCTACAGAAAGTTGGCAAAGAAGAAGAAAAAAATTGGACCCAGAGTTCTCATTACAGGAAATAACAACTCAGGAAAAAGTTCCGTCTCGTTGATACTCCTCAATTATGCATTAAAGTCAGGATTCAAACCGATCTTTATTGAAGCAGATACCAAGTGTACCTGTGACAAGGTCGAATTGAATAGGGGGCCTGGGATTATGAGTTCCTTTGTTTACGACCCAATGAATCGGATGAAGTATGCACTGGATTACTACTTTGGCTACCTCGACCTGAATGAAGACATCAATCTGTACTATCACTTAAATGAGTGCATAAGCAGCTGCGTTCACCTGATGCTGCTGAACAATCTGAACTGCGTCTCGTGTGGCGTCAAATCGGATGCCGAGCAGGAGAGCATTTACGCCGCGGGGTTCATTTTAAACGTTCCCTCCGAGGCCGATCACCTAGTCATTAAGAACCTGATTGAAATATACGGCATAAACATCGTCGTCGTGATTGACAACGCCTTTTTGCACTACTCGCTGAAGGACCAGTATGGGGACGAGTTTTCTAGGCTCGGCGCGGACCGGGGGCGCGACTATGGCGGTGACTACGACAGAGACTACAACCGTGACTACGAGCGGGACTACCGCTATCATTCCCGGAGGGACCCCCTGGCCGAGACACGCCATAAGCCAACCTCTCTGTCCGCTGTGTCCCCCGCGGATAAACAGCGAAACGACAACAACGACACGGATGATCCAGTCGACCCAGTCGAAATTGTAGGCATGCCCAAGTACGAAGGAGTGATCCCATCAGATAATAACCGAGTAAGGTACTGCAAAAATCTGTGGTACTATGAATATTTTACGAAAGATATTATAGTGACGAAGAACGTCCACAGAAAGAGCCACGTCATTTCGTTTAAGTATAGTCATACTAGGTTCATTAAGCTAGACACAAACTTGGCTGTGCCTTTGTCAGCATTACCAGCGGATGCGAGGAACATACAGAGGGAAAACGTAACGGTTAGTTTGTATAATGGGAATATTAGCAACCTGACGCACTGCATTTTGGGAGTCTCCTACTCGAAAGACCTTCATTATGTGCATCTGATGAACATAGCTGCGTTCGTGCATGTGCAGAGTGTGCGTCTCTTCGAATCGGAGGTGGGTGAAGATACGGGGAGGAGTGAGAAGGGCGCGGATGCAGCGCAGGGCAGTGCGGAGGCGCAGAACGACTACTTGATAGAAATTCTCTGCCCCCTGTCCGTCACCACGAAGAACCTCCCGCCCTACTTTGTCGTCCCAGGCAATGCCAAGCAAATGAAGTTTTAGCCGCACTGATGCGCTAAGCGGTGGCGTGATGCGTGAAGGGGTAGCGTCAATGGGTAGCGTGTATCGGTAGTGTGTATCGGTAGCGCGGTAACGTCATAACGCATTCATCCCTAGGGTGGGAAATCCCCGCCGAGCATCCGACGCCCCCTCTCCAACGCTGTGCACACAGCATACCACCAGGGAAAACCCCTTTTTTTTGTGATTTTTTTCCCCGCACGAGGCATGACGTTAGCGTCGCGGCGGTGCGCCCCCGTTTAGTTTGTTTTGTTTGTTTTTCAAAAGCAGTTTTTTTCGATCAAGTAGTTAATAATATGGACTCTGCAAAGGTGTCCCACCTAAGTAGCTTCCCATTTTTTTTTTTAAAGAGGGCTACAAAATGGAATGAGGGTTTTTTACAGCGGTGGACAATTTCGCGGCACAATTCCGCGGCACAAATATGGGTCCGCCACCTGGTTGTCTTTTTCTTTCCCATGGGGCGCGAGAAAAACAGGCGTTGGAGAATCCCCATCTGGCGTGAACCCACGTTGAACTTCCAACACCTCACGGGGTTATCTACTTCCCCGCTGCTCTCCTCCAACGAAGGTATCACTGGGTGCCCACTTAAGGATAAGTAAATTTGGACTGACGATTCGTTTGGGGCAAACTAGCGTGGTAACCAATTACCCGTCGCAATTCTCGCGTGAATAATTCATTTGCGTTACGATTGACACAAGGGAGGGGGATTCACCACGGGGAAGGTTTTGCTCCCTTTTTCTTTCTGCTCTTTCTCGCCGCTTATTTTTGAAAAATTTCCAATTTTTACTTTCATTTGAGGGGGAAACAGAAAGGGAAGGCACTGAGGCGGCGGCGGGTGAGACGATAAAATAGTGAATTAGTTTAGCGCAATCCTGACAAACGGTTCGGCAGGACGAAAAAAAAAAACTGAAGATGTATAATTCCACAATTTTTTCTTTCTTCCCTTCACGTGGATGATACACGACACAGGGTAAAATTCCCCCTGTGCAGCCCCCATTGGGGGGTAATATAAGAACGGAAAAAAAGAAAAAAAAAAAGTGTTACTACGAAGGCGCCGGGTCCAATAAAAAAAGGCCGTTATACTACTCTTCAGTGGGGCAGTATTAATACCATAACGAGGCGGTGCCTCAGGATTTTTTTTCCTCCACCCCAGAAACGTGGCACATACGTTGTTTCTGTATATGCCTTATATGCATACATTTGCCTCGTATGCTTCAGGGGGGCAGGGCGTTCCTAGGCAACGGGAGTAAAAAGCGAATCGCAAGTGCGTGCTATATTTTGCCTTGAAAAGAAAAAAAATCACGTGTGCCGTTCCGTTTTTGTTACGTCCCCCCGGAGGAAAAACGTAAGAGGCACTTGCGGGAAACTCTTCGCCATTACGATGTAACTTTGCAGTTACCTCGATGCAACTTTGCGTCATCACGTTCAACTTTGACGCTGCGTTGCTGCTCTCTTGACACAATTTTGATGCCCCTTTTTACCACCCCCCGATTGTTTGGGTTTTTTTTTTTTTTTTTCTTAATTTGCGCACTTTCTCTGGTAACAATCATCACACGGCTCTCTTCACGCCTACAATAGAACGAAACGGAAAAAAGCGAATGGCCGCTCACGGTTGCTGTGAGCAATTTTAAACGCCCAAACGTCGGAAAAAGAAGAAAAAAAAAAGAAAAAAAAAACATACACGTTAAGTGATACATAGAAAAGAGTGAAGAAGCACATTCCGTATTTCGAAGTCCCCATATTGTAAAATAACTCACCGTAACTTCATCCCCTTCTGGCATCTTCAGAAGGAGTCCATACCAAAGCCGCACAAAAAAAAGCGAATTAACCATTTAGGAAGTACACTTATTTGTCGAATTCTACCGACACCCCCTCTGAAATATTAACAACAATGGTAGCCAAGAAGGAATCCAAAATCGTAAAAAAGCAGAAAAAGAAAAATGGGAAGAAGAGTAAAATAGCTGTGAAAAAACCCAAGGCTATGAAAAGCACCAAGGGGGTTAAGTACGTCCTGGACTGTACGAAGCCAGTAAAGGATACCATCCTTGATATTAGCGGATTGGTAATCCTCCCAGTGTAGATTCGCATCTGCTGATGCCCGTTCGTACATGTGAACGGGGTGTTTCTTATGACACGTCCTCGTCATTGACGTGGGTCGTCCTGCCTGCCTGCCCCCTTAAGAGGTGAAAGCACCACCGTGCTGACATTTTCTACCATCGCGTATGTCCCCCATAACAGGAACAATTTTTTAAGGACAAAATTAAGGTGGATAAAAAGACCAACAATCTGAAGAACAAAATAGTGGTCACCTCGGACGACTGCAAGATCTACATCACGGTGCACATCCCCTTCTCCAAGCGCTACATAAAGGTTAGCCCTCCTGAGTGAGCGACCACGCGTGTTACTCTCCGTGTTTATAGCCATTCTACACATACTTGCACGTATTCATAATTGTATTTGTTCCCTTTCTCTGCGAATCATCCCCCCCTCCTCTACTGCAGTACCTTGCGAAGAAGTACCTGAAGATGCACCAAATTCGAGACTTCCTGAGAGTCATCGCCAAGGGGAAGTTGGCTTACGAGTTTAAGTACTTTCAGCTGAACAATTAGGCAGCAGAGAAAGGCACAGAGGGCGAAGCAGAGAGGGTAGCACAGGGCAGGGCCGCTCCTCACAAGGCAGAATCTCTCCACACAGGACAGGGAAGTACACACAGCATGGCGGCGCATCGGACGAGATGGGGACGTATTTGCCCAGTAGGAATTGCGAACGATCAGCAGTTACTCTGCCCGGGGTGCATCGGTTTGCCCTGCCTTTGGAATGCTCACACGTATGCTCTTTTTGATACGCCATCAGGCGGACTGCATTAATTGCGCCTCTTTTATTGGGCCGCTTTACTGGGTTGCTTCACAGGACCATTTTTCTCGCTAAATTATCTTGCCATCTTTATTGCCATTTTTTTCTCTCTCTCCTACGTTTAAGTAACTGCATCCATTTTAATAAACGTTTAAAAAAGGTTGTTCCCCTTTTGAGAAAATGGGTACCTCGTCTTGCCGCATCTTGCAACGTTTTGCGGCCCTTCGTGTAAAGCGAAGATGATTGCAAAGAGGCGAATTACAGGAGGATCCGCTCCCCATTCGGTTGTTCTCAAATATGTGAGCACCTCTTTAAGACGCCATGCAAGTCATGCAAGTGTATTGCTGCTCCGTGGCGAGGAATGCGTACATCCAGTGAGCTTTCATTAAGCATTTCAGCGGGGAAGGTATGCCACCTCGGAAGAGTACTGTTACAAAAAATATATAACTCATTATTGGGACCATGTTGCAGCAAAAAAAAAAAAAAAGAAAACTCCATCATTGGATGTGCTCCTCCCCGGCTCCCCATTTGTTCCCCTGTTAGGTAAGTACCTCCGCCAAGTGCTCCCCGAGAGAACCGCCTTTCCTAGCTGCGTAACAGAATTCCACAAAGTGGGCAACTGAGCACTGGGATTTATTCTCACCCCATGGGAGGGAAAAAATCAACAAACATCATGCTAATGGGAATCCAAATTCTAATGCGACGTGCAAGTCAGTCGGCAGGCATGAAAAACAGCACAACGCCGGATGTGCGTGCGCTTTTTTCCCACACCCTCCCCACCCCCTACCATGTATACGTCTGCACGCATGCAAAAATGCACCTCAAGTAATGTCGCCCTTTTTGAAACAGGACTCCCATTTGTATAACGCGCAAAAAGGGACAGTTTTCTTTTCCTGACAATTTAATTTACAACTTGGCGCTCCATTTTTTGCGAGTCATTTGGGGAATCCTCTATGGCATTCCTTTTTTTCTTTAAAAAAAATAAAAACCTTCCACGTATCCTCCCCGGGCTCGTTCATTTGAAGGAGCGACCAAAAGCGGCTGTGCGAGTTGACCCAAGTGCACGCTGGGCTGATCAGGAAAAAAAA